TGGAGAGATGGCTCAGTGGTTAAGAACACTGGTTGTTCTTGCAGAAGACCTGGGTTCGAATCCCAGCACCCACATGACAGCTAACAACTGTCCGTAACTCCAGTTCCAGGGGATCCGACAGCCTCTTCTGTCCACCACAGACATTGCACGACACGGGTGCACTTACCTACATGCAGACAATATACGCATACACATAAAATAAAAATAATATTAAAAAAAAAATCAATAAATATTTTCTTTACAAACAGCCACACAGGTCAAAGACAGAGAGACAGCTCTCTCACTTCTGGTTGGATGTGAGATCTGGACTTCAGGTGGTAGAGATGGCTAATCACATACATAGCAGGGTCTGCTCATGCACAAGACTCTCCCTGAAACCACTGTAAAGGCACCAATAGTCCATCAGCTTTCAATGTCAAAAAGGGGAAGACAGGTGTCCTGGGATGCCAGGAGACATCATAGGGATGGATTCATAGTTGGTTCTTTGATGTGGACAAAACCCAGGACCTCACACATGCCAGACCAGTACTCTATCACTAAACCACATCTCCAGGCAAGTTTTTACTTTTTTATTTCAGAGACAGGGTCTTATTATGTAGCCCTGGCCGGCCCAGAACTTGATATGTAGACCAGGCTGGCCTTGATCTGGAATTAAAGGCATGTGCTACCATGCCCAAGTTTTTGTTTTGTTTTGTTTTGTTTTGTTTTTTGTAGGCCCAGCAGTCCTAGAACTCACTAGGTAAACCAGGCCAGGACTCACAGAAATCTGCTTGCCTCTGCCTCCCAAGCGCTAGGATAAAAAGTGTGCACCCAGCTATGTTTTAACATTTGAGACAGGATTTCACTAATTTGCACAGGCTAGCCTTGAACTCATTCTGTAGCCCAGGCTGGCCTTGACCTAGTGATCCTCCTGCTTCAGTTTCTTGAGTAGCTGGGAAGACAGGCCCGGGTCACCAAGTCTGCCTGACTTTGTTTGGACTTTACTGTTCTGTGAGGTGCCGGGAAGGAGTGGAGGTCAACGAGGAGGCTGAGGTTAAGGACAAGGGTACATGAGTGACTGAGGCAGACATGCCAAGCTACAGACGGAAGGATTCTGGGTCCATCTGCATACTGAACATGGGGACATGCCAGTCCCTTCCCAATATGCAAATGTAAAATTTACATCCTTAAAGAGTCTTAGGACACTCACCAGAGGAGAAAGGACCTATACATGGCAGTATTTGGGCATCTGAGTCAAACATGCCTGCCTGCCTTCCATGACAGAAGGCTCCACATTGGTTCTTCAATCTCTTCACTATGGATCAACAAAGATGGCAGGATAGGGGCTGTGGAGTTGGCTCAGTGGTTAAAGCACTGGCCATGCAAGCCTGAGGACCTGAGTTTCCCCAGAAACCCACGTAAATGCTGGGTGGGCGTGGTAGCCTACCTGTTACTCTGGTTGCAGAGGAATACAGGATCCCCAAAGCAAGCTGGTTAGCGAGACTAGCTACATCAGTGAGCATTAGCTATAGGTTTGATTAAAAGACCCCGTCTCAATGAATAAGAAGTAAGGTCAATGGAGGATGATTCTTAACATTAATCTCAGGCCTCCACATGCACATGCACCCACATGCATGCATGCACACACATACACATAAAAATATGCATACCATACACATATGTGTTACACACACATACACACACACACAGACACACACAATAGAAAATTGGGGGCAGGATAGGGGCTGTGGAGTTGGCTCAGTGGTTAAAGCACTGGCCATGCAAGCCTGAGGACCTGAGTTTCCCCAGAAACCCACGTAAATGCTGGGTGGGCGTGGTAGCCTACCTGTTACTCTGGTTGCAGAGGAATACAGGATCCCCAAAGCAAGCTGGTTAGCGAGACTAGCTACATCAGTGAGCATTAGCTATAGGTTTGATTAAAAGACCCCGTCTCAATGAATAAGAAGTAAGGTCAATGGAGGATGATTCTTAACATTAATCTCAGGCCTCCACATGCACATGCACCCACATGCATGCATGCACACACATACACATAAAAATATGCATACCATACACATATGTGTTACACACACATACACACACACACAGACACACACAATAGAAAATTGGGAAAAAAAAAAGAAGCAGGCCATGGTGGCGCACACCTTTAATCCCAGCTCCTGGGAGGCAGAGGCAGGCAGATCTCTTGAGATTGAGGCCAGCCTGATCTACGTGGTGAGTTTCAGGCGAGTTGGGGGCTACAGCCTGTCTCAATAAATAAAAGAGTTCCAAATTAATGAGATGGCTCGGCGGGTAAAGGCACTTGCTGTGTAAGCCTGACGACCTGAGTTCAAGTCACAGAACCCACAGAGAGGAAGGAGAACTAAGTCCTGCAAGGTGTTCTCTGACCTCTACACCTGCACAGAGGTATATACCCCATACACACAAAATGAATAAATTTAAATAAATGTAACTAAAAAAGACAATTGTTACAAAATCAAAGCCTTTCACTTTTTCTAAATACTCTGCAGGAGAAAAACACACCCACACTCAAACACACTCACACACACTCATTCATGGACTCACATACTCATAAACACACTCACACTCACGTAACTCCAAATCTAGAAACAATGAGAAGATTCTAAATAGTTCTTAAAAAAAAAAGACTGTAAGAAGTAACAAGATGAGCCTCCTACAAAGACTTAGGCATTAGTACTTTTATCACACACTTTCATATATGTCCCTGTACATATTTGAATGTGCTTATGTGCCCTCTTTGATCTCTCTCTATACATTAAGCCAGGATCTTTCAGTGAACTAGAGCTTGCTGTTTGAGCTAGTCTACCCAGTCATTTTGATCTAAGATCACCTATCTCTATCTTCCACGTGAGATTACAGCTGGGCCACCATGAATGCCCAGCATTTTACATGCAATGCTGGTCATCTGAATTCCCACCCCGACACTTTCGAGGCAAGCATTTTACCCACTAAGCCATCTTCCCATCCCCAAGATTTTGGGATTAAAATGCACCGAACATCTCAAAGGAGAGTGAAAGCTTGATTTAAAAAAATCAAATGAACACTGGCTGCTCTTGCAGAAGATCCAAGTTCAGTTCCCAGCACCCACATGGCAGCTAACAATCATCTGTAACTTCAGTTCCAGGGGATCTGACACCCTCTTCTGGCCTCCACGGATATTGCACACAGGTGGTGTACTTACATGCACACGGGCAAAACACTCACACAGACAAATTAAAAAATAAAATTTTAAACAAAAAACAAGGCTGTCAGGGCTGGAGAGTTGGCTCAGCAGTTTAGAGCACTGACTGCTCTTGCACAAAATATTTAGGTTCGATTCCCACATGGTGGTTAACAACCATTCTAACTCCAGTTCCAAGGGATCTGACATCCTCTTCTGACCTCCTCCAGCATTTCAAAACACAACACATGCAGGCAATACACTCAATACACATAAAATAAAAATGAAGTCGCTGGGCATGGTGGCACATGCCTGTAGTCTGAACACTCTGGAGGCAAAGGCAGGCAGATCTCCGTGATATCGAAGCCAGCCTGGTCTACACAGTGAGTTATAGGCTACCTGGAGCTACAGGGAGACCCTGTTACAAAAAGACCAAAAAATAAAATAAAATAAAAAAAATCAAATGTCAATTCTGAAATGGGGAGGGGGAAATTATTTACAATGTAGAATTTATACCCAGCTCAACTGTTTTTGAAGAATAAGAATAGGGGCTGGAGAGATGGCTCAGCGGTTAAGAGCACTGGCTGCTCTTCCAGAGGACCCAGGTTCAATTCCCAACAATTACATGGCAACTAACAACTGTCCATAACTCCAGTTCCAGGGGATCTAATGCCCTCTTCTGAGCACCACAGGCACTGCATGACAGGGGTGCACTTACATACATGCAGGCAATACACTCATACACATAAAATATTTTTTAATTTAAAAAAATTAAAGAGAGGGGTTGGAGAGATGGCTCAGTGGTTAAGAGCACTGGCTGCTCTTGCAGGAGACCCAGGTTCAAGTCCCAGCACCCACATGGTAGCTAACAACTGTCTGTAACTCCAGTTCCAGTGGAATCTAATACCATCTTCCGAGGGCATTGCATGACACAGGTGTACTTACACATATGCAAGCAGTACACTCATACAAAATTTTTTTTCATTGTTATTTAAAAAGTTAAAGAATAGGGCCGGGCGTGGTGGCGCACACCTTTAATCCCAGCACTTGGGAGGCAGAGGCAGGAGGATCTTTGTCAGTTCAAGGCCAGCCTGGTCTACATAGTGAGTTCCAGGACAGCTGGGGCTACAAGGAGACCCTGTCTTGTCAAAAAAAAAAAAAAAAAAAAAAAAAAAAAAAAAAATTAAAGAATAAGGGTAGAATAAAGCCATGACAACACTTGACAAACTTATTTTCTGTGGACTATTTCTCAGAAAACTGCTAAAGGGAGCTGGGGACTTGCTCAGCTGACAAGAGTGCTGCCAAGCATGAAAAAGCCCCCCAAGTTCCATCCCAGCACTGCATGAACTACATGAGATGGCACACGCTTGTCATCCCAGCACTTGGGCGTTAGAGGCAGGAGGGTCAGAAGTTCAAGGTCATCATCATCAACCTACGGAGTCTGAGTCCAGCCTGGGCTACATGAGACCATGTCTCAAAACAAACACCTATTGAAGGGTCTCTACTAAAATGAAGAGATAAACCAAGAACAAGATAGAATGCCACACAGAAGAGGCCAAAGGGAATCTCAGGGTTCTGGGAGGTTCAGGGCCAAAATTCCAAGAGGCACGCTGAGGCTTAGAAAGGAGCTGGTCCTGCATGGTACTGAACATCCCCGAATACTGGAATCCCAGACAAACTTTTACTGTAGTAGCAAGACTTTGGGGACTTTGATGACCAATGAGTGACTAATAGATAGGAAAAGAAATTCCCAGCCCAACTGTGGCTCAGACTAAACACCTGTTGCTTAAAGGTGTGCCATCTTCTGGTGCATACAAAGTATGAGGCAGCCAATGGGCTGTACTTGGCCTGTTGTACTTAGTCTTTTTGGTCCAACCAACACCCCTATTCCTAAGTATGTTGGTTTTGCAATGACTAAGGAGTAGACTGTTTGAGCACCTATTTTTATTTTTATTTTAAAATTTATTTTTATTTTATGTGTATGAGTGCTATATCTGCATGTGTATGAGTGTACCCATGTCATGCAGTGCCTATGGAGGACAGAAGAGGGTGTCGGATCCCCTGGAACTGGAGTTAGACAGGTGTTAGCCACCATGTGGGTGCTGGGATTCAAACCCAGGTCTTCCTCAAGAACAGCCAGCACTTGTAACTATTGAGCCATGTCTGCAGCCCAAATATCTGTTTCTTTGGTCTGTCTGATATCCTACTATTTATCTTGTGGGGTACCTATTTATTTGGGGGTTTTATACATTTATTTGTGTGTGTGTGTGTGTGTGTGTGTGTGTGTGAGTAAATATGCATGTGTGTGCATGTGAAGGTCAGAAGAGGGCATCAGTGTCCTCTTCTGCCACTCTGTCTGTTCCTTTGAAACAGGGTCTTTTCCTGAACCTGAGGCTCATGTTTTCTCAGTTAAGCTAGACACCAGCACGCCCTAGCAATCCTCCCCACAGAGCTGGGGCTACAGATATGGGTAGGCAATTTCAGTTACGCAAACCAGTAGGCAATTTCAGTTACGCAAACCAGTAAACCTTTTTTTTTTTTTTTGGTCTTTTTGAGTCAGGGTCTCCCTGGAGCCCCAGCTGGCCTGGAACTCACTATGTAGACCAGGCTGGCCTTGAACTCACAGAAATCCTCCTGCCTCTGCCTCCTGAGTGCTGGGACTAAAGGCCTGCACCACCACACCCAGCATCAGTAAACCATCTTCACAGTGATCGTTGACTAGGTGAGCAGGTACTGACTTGTTAGGAGATGGGCAAGCTGGGAAAGGGAAGGATCTTACCTCGGACCACAGTGCCTGGGTAGAGACAGCGGTACTGCTGGCTCCAGTAGGCTGCAATCCTGGTGCCCTGGGGCAAGAAGCGTGTAGAGGCTGGCCTCACATCAATAATCTGAAAGAGAACAAGACTAAGCACCAGGGGGGATCTGGGAAGGAAAGCTCTGGCCTTAATCTTGGAACGCCTTCCTCCCTTAAGCCTTAGGGGCTGCCTCCCCTCCCTAACTCACCGCCTCCTGAAGCAGTTGTTCCAAGCAGTAGATGTGGGGACGGTTTCCACGCTCACCCTCTACCACCACACGATATCTGAAAGGTCAGGGGTAACCATGTGAGGTACGAGTGACCAGAGAGACCCCCTTCTAGAGGACTCCCCCCAATCCCAGCACTGGCAGTGCTATCTCCTCGTCCACAACGATTTGGCTCCCAGTCCAGGACATGTGGTAACTTGGTATAGAAATACAGGATTTGCTCTTTCTTCCTGACTCGTGTCTTTTTATTCATTTTATGTGTTTTGCCTGCATGTGTAGAAGTACACGTGTGCATACAATGGCTTCAGAGACCAGAAGAGGGTGTCAGATCCCCTGGAACTGGAGTTACAGAAGGTTGTTAGCTGCCATATGGGTGCTGGGAACTGAACCTGGGTCTTCTGCAAGAGCACCCAGGGCTCTTAACCACTGACCCATCTCTCCAGCCTCCTCAGTTTCCTTTTTTTCTAAAACTCAGCTACACAGCATGCAGGGCCACACCCTGGAATCCAAAGGAAGCCTGCATACCCTTTTTCCCATCTCCCATTGGGTTCCACAGGGCCTAGCTGTGCCCAGCATCCTGCAAAAGCCCATCCCAGTGGGGTCTACATTAGTGCAACTTCTAACTGTAATGGCCTGCCCGGCTCCCCAGAGCCCCCAACTCACTTGCTTTCTCAGCCCAGAGAGGGGAAGCACAGCAAGGCGGCCCCTCAGTGTAACTGAGTGTGGGACATGGGGCTAGGTGGCCGACTCGTGGCAATCACTCACATGTCAGGCGAGTGCACGGTCTGCACATGCCCTGCATACAACAGCTTGTCGTCCATAGGGATCAGCACACGCAGGCCGTCTTTCAGCTCATCCTTATCAATGATGCAGGAGCGGGGAGCTGCAAAGAGGTGGCCAGTGAACCAGGGGGAGTTAGAGGCTGACTGGGGAGAAGCATCACAGGCCTGCCTGGTTCCCTCTAGGAAACAGAGGCTGTTGAGGTACTCTAATGAGGTGTGGTACCGGTGTCTACACGGGTGTCTCCCATAGAGACTGCATGCCAAGGTGGGGGATGGGCAACACCCTCTTCTCAATTTCCACAGACAACTGGAACTCACCAGTAAAAAACTCTCTTTTTTAAAAAAATATTTTTTTGGTCTTTTTGAGACAGGGTCTCCTTGTACCCCAGCTGACCTGGAACTCGCTGTGCAGACCAGGCTGGCCTTGAACTCACAGAGATCTCTGCCTGCCTCTGCCTCCCCAGTGCTAGATTAAAAGTGTATGCCACCATACCCAGCTTCTTTTTAAATTTTTTTTAAATATACTTATTTTTCTTTTATGCATATGAAGTGTTTTGCCTTGTATGTATGTGTGTCCATGTTGTGCAATGCCTGCAGAGGTCAGAAGAGGGCATTGGATCCTCTAGAACTGAAGTTGTTAGCCATCATGTAGGTGCTGGGAACCGAACCCGGGTTCTCTGTAAGAGTAGCCAGTGCTCTTAACCGCTGACCATCTCACCAGGTAACAAATTCTCATCTCATATAGGTCAATACTCTTGCCAGACTGTGAAGTCCCCAGCACTGATCAGGTACTCTAGTATTCAGGGTGCCTTCTTCTAACACCATGCCCAGCCCTCAGTAATGCCCCTGGAATTTCTGATCCTCTTTTTATAAAATATTTTATTTGTTATTTATATTTTATGTGTACGCATGTATTGCCTGCATGTAGGTAAGTGCACGCATGTCGTGAAATGCCCAGAGGTCAGAAGAGGCTGTCGGATCCCCTGAGACTGGAGTTATGGACAGTTGTTAGCTGCCATGTGGGTGCTGGAATTTGAACCCGGGTCTTCTGCAAGAACAGCCAGTGTTCTTAACCACTGAGCCATCTCTCCAGCCCTGAATTTCTGATCCTCTTAGTCTCCACCTGGTCCCCCTTTCCTCAAAGTCCCCTGGAGGGACAACCCAATCCCTGTCTCTTTAGCTCCAACTCTTCCTTCTCTGTGAGACCTTACGCCTGGGTCCCTGTCATCAGCAAACATTAAAAAGACTCTAATTGAGGCAAGGTGTGGTGGTACATGCCTGTAATCCCAGCACTGAGAGGAGGCAGAGGCAGGTGGATCTCTGTGAGTTTGAAGCCAGCCTGGTCGACACAGAGAGTACCAGGCCAGCTAGGGCTACATAGTTAAGACTCCATCTCAAAAAAAAGAAAAAGACTCTAACTGGGGCTGATGGTGCAGGTCTGTCATGGAAATGACTAGGGAAACAGGTCTAAAGGTTCATGGCCAGCCTGAGCAACTTAGTGAGACATCTCTCAAAAAGTGAGGGAAGTCTGGGGGTGTCAGTGGTAGAGCACCTGCTTAGAATCCCCCAGTGAGGGATGGGGATATGGTTCAGCAGTAGGAGGCTTGCTTAGAATTCACAAATGAGGGCCAGGGGAGCACTTTTCTAGAATGGCAAGGGACGTGGCTCAGCGGCAGAGGGCTTCTCCACTGTGTAGAAAGCCCTGGATTCCATGCCCCCATCACCATCAAAAACAAATCTACCAGGCAGCTCCAGAGTCTGGTAACGAAACAAGCTTAGTTCTCCATCCCACCTGCCCCTGCACTCTGGCCACATCCTCCTCATAGGCTGAGGTGAAGCCCCACCACTTATACATGTTGGTCTGGGTAGGATGACTTGCTGTGGCCAAGAAATAAACAGTGCATAACAGTGCATATATCAAGGTGGGAGAGGACCCAGTTACATTACAGCTTCCCTTGCAGTTGCACATGGAGCACTCATGACATGCAGGGCATGGAACTCTAGCACCCCATGCCCACGGAGCATGCCAGATGAGGTCGGCACAGACACCTACACCCGGCAGACCTCAGACCCACATGCAAGAGTGTGGCAGGCTACTCCTCTGTCTCATTGACCAAGACATCCCACAGAGATGGCCTAGCCACTCCTCCTTCCACCTGCTCCCCACAGACCAGATCTGCCATCCCCCCCGCTAGCTTCCCAGGGGTCCAAGGGACTTCCCAAAGACGTCTTCGAAGCCCCCTAAACTGTAGCTTACACATGTGATCTCTCACACTTCTGGGACCCAGGTCTTGGGGACAGCTTCCCCATGAACCCAAGACACCAGTCTTCATCTCCTCCTGCCTCCCTCCTCACACTTCTGCTCACATGACCCACCCCCACATCCCTCTCATTTCTCTCACCTAACCCATCATGCTCCACCTGGCCCCCTGTGTTCTCTGCTGTGCCCAGCTGTGTCTGGATAGTAATCAGCTTCCTGATGGTCCCTTTGCCTCCCCTGGAGCCTCCAGCACATTCTCTACCCAGCACAGCTGGCAACACATTTCAATGCCATCTGACCACGTCATCTCCAACTCCCAGTCAGGGGGAGCTGTTTATAAGGCAGACACCAAGCCCCTTAGCAGGGCACAAGAGACAGTGGACACCCACTTGTGCCTCCTGTCCCCAACACAACCTCACTAGGCCAGAGCTGAACCCCAGTGGCTTCAGGGCCTTTGGACATGCATCTCAGACCTAGGCTTAGATCTAAACACCTCCAAGGAACCCCTGTGCTCCTCATAACACAGCCACTCACCTGGGGTCAAAGGTCGCTCTACAGCCCCAGCACGGGGCAAGTTCTCATCCTCAGAGAAGCTGGAGTCCTGGTTGGGTTCAAAGTCCTCCTCTGCGGCCATACACTCCATCAACTTGCTCACAGCACCCCCTTTTCCTCGGTTCTGGGACAGAACATAGCAGATTGATGGCTTAGAACATGGCATGAATGGGTCCTGCTATGCTAGGGACACTCCTCGGAAACTCAGGGCCAATAGTCAGGCTCAGTGGCACCTTCCTTGCACACTGCGACCCATCTGTGTGTACTCAGCATAGTACTCAGTGGTCAGTACTCTCCTCACATTCATCAACCAGCAGATACTTAAAAACTGATACAGCATCTCTAGCCACGTACAACAGATTTGAGGGCAAAGAGGCCACCAGGTGTAGGGGGTGGCACACTTATGCACGACAAGGGCACCTCTGTCAACAGAGAAAAAACTGAAGATCCCCCACAAGGGGACAGGGCTCTGGGCTATGAGCTGCTATGGCCAGAAGGTCTCAGGGTAGTGGTCTGGGTAACCCTGTTCTCCAGTAAGGATGGAACCTGGTTAGAAAATAAAGACTAAAGGAAATCACATGGTGGGGCACAGTGGCGCACACCTTTAGTCCCAGCACTTGGGAGGCAGAGGCAGGGGGATCTCTGTGAGATGGAGGCCAGCCTGGTTTACATAGTGAGTTCCAGGCCAGCTGTAGCTACAAGGAGACTGCCTCAAAATAAAAAAAAAATTAAATAAAGTAAAATAAAATGACTGAGGTGGGGGACAATCAGGCTGAAACGTGGAAGACCCTCAGGTCTGTCACACCCATCCCCAGCATGAGGAACAGTGTGTCGGGGAGAGAATAGACTAGGGGTGCTGCACCCCATCCCTGTGACTAGACACAAACCCACTCTCTATTCAAAGGCCCACCTGGGACCCTTACCTCCTTCCTTGAATCCTTCCCTTTGGCCTTGGCCTTACTCCGTTTGGCGGTTGCCAGGGATCCTGTGTGAGTTGCCCTGGCCTCGGGCAGGGTGGTAACTCGGGGCTGTGGCAGGGTGGCTGCTGACCCAGCCTCCTTCCCGTTCTTCTTCTAATAGGAAGCAATGAATAGGGATGTCAGAGGATGGGGAGGACCCAGGTCACTCAGGGCTGGGGAGGAAAGGCGCCTCACAGAATCACACGAACCTCAACAGGCTAAGATTCTTCTCTCCCTGCCACTCTTTTATAAGCATATGGAAGTCAGAGGACAACTTGCAGGAATTCCACTGTGTGGGTTCCAGAGATTACACTTAGGTTGCCAGGCTTGGTGGCAAGCACCCTTACACATAAGCCATTCTACCTGCCCTCACAATTTTTTTTTTATCACTACTGTATAATTTATTATACCAAAAAACAAAAACAACGCTAGGATGTGTACATGTGAGTTCTTCTGCAACAACCCTGCTGCTGGTAGCCTTGTGGTGTATTATTCCAGAACTTCCACAAACACACACATTTATGTGCGTACTTTCTGTTTTGGGGCTGTGGTGGATGGATCTCAGGCCTTATGCATGCTAGAAAGCTGAGCCACACCCCCAGCCCCTCAACTGGAGGATTCTAGGCAGGTGCTCTACCACTGAGCCAGACCCCCAGCCCCTCACTAGGGGACTCTAAGCAGGTGCTCTACCACTGAGCCAGACCCCCAGCCCCTCACTGGGGGATTCTAGGCAGGTGCTCTACCACTGAGCCACACCTCCAGCCCCTTACTGGGGGATTCTAGGCAGGTGCTCTACCACTGAGCCACACCTCCAGCCCCTTACTGGGGGATTCTAGGCAGGAGCTCTACCACTGAGCCACACCTCCAGCCCCTTACTGGGGGATTCTAGGCAGGAGCTCTACCACTGAGCCACACCTCCAGCCCCTTACTGGGGGATTCTAGGCAGGAGCTCTACCACTGAGCCACACCTCCAGCCCCTTACTGGGGGATTCTAGGCAGGAGCTCTACCACTGAGCCACACCTCCAGCCCCTTACTGGGGGATTCTAGGCAGGAGCTCTACCACTGAGCCACACCTCCAGCCCCTTACTGGGGGATTCTAGGCAGGAGCTCTACCACTGAGCCACACCTCCAGCCCCTTACTGGGGGATTCTAGGCAGGAGCTCTACCACTGAGCCACACCTCCAGCCCCTTACTGGGGGATTCTAGGCAGGAGCTCTACCACTGAGCCACACCTCCAGCCCCTTACTGGGGGATTCTAGGCAGCTCTACCACTGAGCCAGACCCCTCAGCCCCTCAATGGGGGATTCTAGGAAGGTGCTCTACCACTGAGCCAGACCCCCAGCACCTCAATGGAGCATATTAAACAATCATTCTGCATTTTGTTTTGTTGAACACAGGTTCACTAAAGTCTTGTTAAGCTGGGTGTGGTACATGCCTTTAATGGGAGCATTCGGGAGAAGCAAGCAGATCTCTGTGAGTTAGAGGACAGCCTGGTCTACATAGGAAGTTCCCGGTTAACTGGGGCTACAGGGAAACACTGCCTCAAAAACATTTTTTTAAAAAAGCAAAACACTAAAGTCCTGTTCTAAAATATTCCCCTGTGAATAGCTGGTGTCCACAGAGGTAGCTCTGTCTGCTCTGTGCTGCCCACGGTTTGGACGAACTGGTATTACTTAAATATTCCAAATTGTTCACCTGTCAGCAGCCTCTATTTTGTCATTCATCCAAATGCTACCAAAACCCAACATCAACTATAACAAAACAATAAAGCCTTACCAATAACTTCTGGGGGCCATACTCCTGGAAGGGTATTTAAAATGGTTTAGCTGCCAAGTCACTTGTAGATGACTGTATGGCTTTCCAGGACTCTGCAGCAAGGGAACCTTCTTCCAAGCATCTCAAAAGTGTCCAGACAGAGCTCTGGGAACTCCTTGCCCTGCAGGTGGAGTGGGAACTGACCAATGCCTTTCAAAAAGGGGCACACAAGCAAAAAGTTGGAAATAACCTAGACATCCAGGAAACACAGAAACCAGCACCTGCACATGCAGCAGTTACACGCCTCTCCCGTAGGGTCTGTGCTGGAGGCCATGGCAAGGCAACCAGCACACTGAAAATTTGCCTAAAACCGCCAGGCTAGCAAGAGAAAAGTGGAGAACAAGGGCATATGATCAGGCTTTTCACAAGAGAAAAGACTGAGGTGCTGCACAGCTTAGCAGTGTAGCACCTGCCTATTGAGGGTTTGGGGTGTGGCTCATTGATTGAGCACCTGCCTAGAATCCACCAGTGAGGGGCTGGGGTGTGGGTCAGAGGTAAAGCATCTTCCTAGAATCCCCAGTGAGGGCCTGGGGTGTGGTTCAATGGTAGAGCTCCTGCCTAGAATCCCCAGTGAGGGCCTGGAGTGTGGCTCAGTGGTAGAGCACCTGCCTAGAATCCACCAGTGAGGGGCTGGGGTGTGGGTCAGAGGTAAAGCATCTTCCTAGAATCTCCCAGTGAGGGCCTGGGGTGTGGTTCAATGGTAGAGCTCCTGCCTAGAATCCCCAGTGAGGGCCTGGAGTGTGGCTCAGTGGTAGAGCACCTGCCTAGAATCGAGGGCCTGGAGTGTGGCTCAGTGGTAGAGCACCTGCCTAGAATCCACCAGTGAGGGGCTGGGGTGTGGGTCAGAGGTAAAGCATCTTCCTAGAATCTCCCAGTGAGGGCCTGGGGTGTGGTTCAATGGTAGAGCTCCTGCCTAGAATCCCCAGTGAGGGCCTGGAGTGTGGCTCAGTGGTAGAGCACCTGCCTAGAATCCCCCAGTGAGGGCCTGGAGTGTGGCTCGGTGGTAGAGCTCCTGCCTAGAATCCCCCAGTGAGGGCCTGGGGTGTGGCTCGGTGGTAGAGCTCCTGCCTAGCATGTCAAGGCCCTGGGTTCCGTACCTACCACTAGGAAGGAGCCCTTCACCATTTTCATTTTTGAAGGAACAAATTTTTCCTACAGATCAGAAACCACAATCATGTCCACAGCTGATGGTGATGCTGCCACTGACTGAAATCGCAGCATTCCCCAAACATAATAGCCACTGCAGAGACCTTGAAAGGTCCTTATGGCAACAGGAAATGGTTTCTCCACATTTAGATACTGGGTTTGTTATCAGCACTCTCCTTTCAGATCTCCCAAGATTTGCAGAAATGTCTTAGGGGACAGACAGAGGTGAGGTCTAGTGGGAGGTCCTCAGGTCACTGGGCTGCAGGTGTCCTTGATGGGCATTGCAAGACCCTGTATCTTCCTTGCTCACTTTCATCCTGGCTCCCCTAATATTTCCACTATGATACACTGTCTCACCACAGGACCAAAACAATGGACCATGGACTAAAACTTTCAAAACTGTAAGCCAACATAAACCTCTCTCACCCACCCTCTTTGTCCCCCCCCCCCCCCCCCCCTTTTTCCCCCCCCCCCCCCCCGCTTCATTGTTTTTCTTGCTGGAGATAGTCTTGCTATGTAGCCCAGATTACATTCAAAGAAATACCAGGGACTAGGGAGATGGCTCAAAGTTAAGAGCACCACCTGCTCTTGCAGAGAACTGAGTTCGGTTCCCAGCACCCACATGGCTGCTAACAACTGTCTGTAACTCCAGTTCCAGGAGATTCGATGCCTCTTCTTGCCTCAATGGACATTGAACACACATGGTACACTTCATACAGGGAAAGCAGTCATACACATAAAAATAATAAAAATAAGGGACTAGAGAGATGGCCCAGTGGTTAAGAACACTGAATGTTCTTGCAGAAGACTTGGGTTCAGATCTCAGCACCCATATGGCAGCTAACAACTGTCCTTAACTCCAGTTCTAGGGGATCCAACGCCCTCTTCTGACCTCTGCAGGCACTGCACGACACAGGTGCACTTCCATACACGCAGGCAATACACACATACCAGGCATGACCCAACACATCCAGTAACTGCTGGAGAGATGGCTCAGTGGTTAAGAGCACTGCTGCTCTTGCAGAGGACCCAGGTTTGAATTCTAGCACCTACGTGACTAACAACTAACTCTCCGTCACTCCAGTTCCAGGGGATCCAACGCCTTCTTCTGTCCTCCACGGACAGACATGAGTGCACTTATATACATGCAGGCATAACACTCATAGTTGTCTCAGTGCTGGAAAGATGGCTCAGCAGTTAAGAGAACTGGCTGCTCTTACAGAGAACCCAGGTTCAGTTCCCAGCATCCACATGGCAGCTCACAACTGTCTGAAACTCCAGGTCCAGAAAATCCAATGTGCTCTTCTAGCTTCCACAGGCACCAGGCATGTATGCAGTGCACTTACATACATGCATGCAAAACACTCATACACAGAACACAGATACATACATACATACACACACACACACACACACACACACACACACAGAGTTAATTGTCTCAGGTGCTTTGTTGGATCCCTGGTATTTATTCATGTTTTTAACATGTTACTCTAAGATGAAAGGGGAGAAAAACAAGGACCTCTGTCAAGGACAGGGGACAAGGACTTCCCAATTACTAAACATGGTGGATGGACCTCCTGATGGGCAAACTGTAAACCTCAAAGCCGTACCCCAAGAGTGGAAACCATGGGAACCTGTGCCGAGTATTTACCCTCCTGGGATCCTTCCTGTCCTTGGCTCGGCTGGTGTCCTTGCGTGGGCTGGGGGCACCACCCCTGCCACAGCGGCTGGGCTTGGGTGCTGGTGCCGTGGTGCTGGGTGCCTGGACTGCAGCTGAGGCGTCGTGTAGAAAGATGCGCTCACTCCGGCGGCGAACCCACAGGTCGTCATCACTGGCCTCCGGCCCCGCCTCAAAGCCAGGCTCCTTGGGGCCACGAAGCTTCCTGGCCTTCCGACCCTTCTCCACCGTCAGCTTGGCCTTGTCGGGGCTGGATGGACCAGAGCCCCGGGTGCCAGGTGCAGGTGCAGCCAACGGCTGTCCAGGCTCCCCCAGTCCCTTCTTGGGCCGCAGTAACCCAGCAGGTGACGGCTTGGGGACCTTGACTTCACTCTCTGAATCTGTGTACTCAAACTCTGTGCCTGGACACGGGAAGGAAGACATGGGAGCTTGTGGGCAGGGTCTCCATGGGCCCCTCTTTCCATCTACCCAGTCCTGCTATCCATTAGCAAGAAACCCAAAGACTCATTCCATGCAGGGATACACCCACAGGAAGCTTTTCTCCTGTTACCAAGAGAGGGGAAAACAGGCTCAGAGAAGAGAAAGGGTCCATCCAAGCCCACTTAACTACACCCTCTAGCTGCTCCCGGGCACTCACCCCAAGAGGACAGGTAAGACTATGAATGCAGGTCCTAGGCCCACCTGAGACCCTACATAGCCTTGCAGGAAACCCCAGAAGTCAGGCAGGTTGAGGTGAGGACTGAGTAGGGAACCAGGAGGGAAAACCCGTAGGAAACTCCCAAGCCAGAGGAGTTTCCTACCTACCGCTTCTTAACTGGTTCCCTTCACAGGGCTTGAGGAGTCTTTAATCACGCAGGCCCAAAAGCTTCTGAGAATACAGGTCCATCAGAGGTCCTGCCTCTCACTCCCAGGCAACTAAATACCCCAACCCCTCGCACACACCGAGAACAGGCACCTGATTCCCTCTGGCCCAGGTACACTCAACAAGACTTCAAGGTCACAGGCTGTCTTCTAACTCTACCAACCTTCCACTTATTCTTTGTTTAAAAAAAAATTTTTTGTTTTAATTTTATGTGTATGAGTGTTATGCCTGCATGTAGGTAAGTGCACCAGTGTCGTGCAATGCCCACAGAGGACAGAAGAGGCTGTTGGATTCCCTGGGACTGGAGTTATGGACAGCTGCCATGTGGGTGCTGGGATTCAAACCCGGGTCTTCTGCAAGAACAACCAGTGTTCTTAACCGCTGAGCCATCTCTCCAGCCCGTTTTAAAATTTTTTTATTTTTATGTGCATTTTGTCTGCATGTATGGAAGCACACCAGAAGATGGAGTCACCCCCAGGAACTGGAGTTACAGACGGTTGTTAGCTGCCATGTGGGTGCTGGAAACTGAACCCACGTCCTCTGCAAGAGCAGCTGGTGCTCCTAACCTCTGAACCATCTCTTCAGCTGTTTGTTTGTTTGTTTGTTTGTTTTTGAGGCAGGGTGCCACTATGTACCCCTGGCTGGTTTGGAGCTCCCTATATAGACCAAGCTGGTCTTGAACTCACAGAGATCCCCCTGTCTCTGCCTCCCAAATGCTGGAATTAAAAGGTATGTGCCATCACTCCCAGCTCTTCCTCTCCCTCTAACCTTCAGGTTCTGCAATACTACTGTTCCCTCAGCCCAGAGCATTCTAACCTTGACTTAGGAAACCTGAGCCCACCTTGACAAGATGCGCTTCATTACCCTCGGGTAATTACCCCTCTGTTCCTGGTATCAGAGGCAACAACTCTCTGCCTTTCTCTAGCGGCTCTGTTCACATCTCAGCCTATTTCAACCTATCCTGGTTCTAGAAGTGGCTCTTTGAGTTCTCTTGGAGCCTCTAGCATCCCCAAGACTCAAACTAAGCACAGAGCCAGCACTATGGACAGCATTTTAGGGGTGTGGTTGCTGACACATGCCCCTGAACAACAGCCTTTAAAAGTATGTTTTTCTCACAGACCAGATGGCTGTAGACCCCAGCAACACCCAGCACAGAAGCCAAGAAACCTGAGCCAAACATCAGCTCTACTGACATCCAGGCAGCTGGCAACCTGTTCACAAAAGGCTCCCCTGAGAGACATGGCCCCTCAGAGGCAGCCATTAGCAGCAGCAGGGACGGGGTATGTAGCCCCAGCTGGCCTGGAACTTGCTATATTGACCAGGCTGCCTTCCATCTCACAGAGATCTGTGTGCATCTGCATCCCAAGTGCTAGGATTAAAGGCACCATATCAGTCTTTGTGGGTTTTTTTTTCTTTTTAATATTTTATTTATTATTTTTATTTTACGTGTATGCGTGTATTGCCTGCATGTAGGTAAGTGCACCTGTGTCATGCAATGCCCACAGGACAGAAGAGACTATCAGATCCCCTGGAACTGGAGTTATGGACAGTTGTTAGCTGCCATGTGGGTGCTGGGATTCGAATTCGGGTCTTCTGCAAGAACAACCAGTGTTCTTACCTGCTGAGGCATCTCTCCAGGCCCCATAACCAGTCTTTTAATTAACTTGTTAATAAGCCTTCTCTCACTTGAAATGTGTAGGGAAGGAGCTGGGGTTGGAAGAGGAAAGCTTGTGCTTTGGGGGGCTAGGGATGTGGCTCAGTTGGTAGAGCGTTTGCCTGGCATGCAGGAAGCCCTGAGTTCCACCCCTAGCACTGCATAAAACCCGGCATGGTGGCGCGCGCCTATCATCCTGGCATGGTAGAGGCAGAACTGTAAGTTCAAAGTCATCATTGCTACACATGCCCTTATGCAACCTTATACCGGAACATCTAGACATACAAGGTCCACTGTAGGCAGCAGGTCTGGGGAGCTGAAGGAAGGAGGACACAGGCTTGCTTGGAGAAAGACCAGGCAGCTACAGGGGTCAAAGCCAAGCCCTGCACCTCCTACTTGGGGTTTGAAGGCACAGTTGGAAGTGTGAGGCACACATGGTAAAGAAATGAATCCTGACCTCAGAAATCAGGAAAGAAAAACCCAAGAATCACAGAAAAAAGAGGAGATAAAAGGGAATCCCAGACTGTCTGCCCACCTACACCCAGGAAGGACCCCTAAGGTCATCTACCCTCAGAACACACACAAAGCAGCACATGCCCGTCTGACGGCTGGGGGATGGCTCAGTGCGTAAAGTGCTTGCCATGCAAGCAGGAGGACCTGAGTTCAGAGACAGGCAGATCCCTGGAGCTCACTGGCTGTCTAGCCTAACCTACTTGTCGAGTGTCAGGCCAGTGAGAGATGCTGTCTCAGAAAGCAAGGTGGACGATGCCTGAGGAATGACACCGAAGGTTGACCTTTGGCCTCCACACATGCTCAGTCACACACACACACACACACACACACTCCTGAACATAGAGACCATTAAGCAAACAGAAATTGGAGTTGGAGCCTCTCAGGTCACCTTGCTGAAAGAAAATAATACTGAAAGAAACATGTTCCTACTCTGGCTAACCTCCCTCCCTCCTCTACAATGTTCAGCATACAATCCACACTCCAAATAAAGGGCCGAAATGACAGAAAGGACCACCCCCAATCCCAAGATGAAGCCAACATGGGGACTAACGATAGTTCTTTCATTATGTCACAACTATTCTCAAGTAAAACAGCTTGGTATGGTGACATAATCTACAATTCAAGGACCCAGGAGGCTGAGACAGTAGGATTTTTAGGCCAACCTAGGTGTGTGGCACCACACCTGGCTCCCAAACTAGTTCTTAATGTGTGGAGATTTCACCAAAAAAAATAAGAAAGCCTATTAGAAAGGAACAAATGGAAGTTTCAGAACTGAAAACTGCAATTTTACAAATAAGAAGCTTGCTAAATGTGACAGGCACCTTTCATCCTGGCACTAGGGAAGCAGAGGCAGGTGGATCTCTATGAGTTTGAGGCCAGCGTGGTCTACATAGTGGGCTCCAGGCCAACTAAGGCTAAGGGAAACTCTGTCTTTAAAAAAAAATGTTTGCTAAAGAGACGTAAGAGCCGAGCACTATGACTAATACGAGTTGTGACGGTTAGTTTTAATTGTCAACTTGACGCAGTCCAGAATCACAGGGAAGGGAGTCTTACTGAGACACTGCCTAGGTCGGTGGCCTGTGGGCTTGTCTGTGGGGGTTGTCTTGATTCTGTTAGCTGAAGTGGGAAGACCCACCCACCTGGGTAGCACCATTCCCTGGGCAGGAGAGTCTGAACTGTTTGAAAAAGAGAAAGAGGGTCTGGAGAGCTGGCTCAGCAGTTAAGAGCACTGGCTGCCCTTGCAGAGGACCTGGGTTTAGTTCCCAGCACCCACATGGTGGCTAACAATCATCCATAGCTCCAGTTCCAGGGGATTGGACATGGTCTTCTGGCCTCCACGGGCACCAAGTACAAGGGGTGCACTGACGTACATGCAGAGAAACACTGATACGTATAAAATACAAATAAAATAAATCTCAAAACTTAAAAAAAGAGGAAGGAAACAAGAAAGGAGTGAGCACTGGCATGCATACATGAATTAATTCATCTCTCTCTGTCCTTGACTGTGGATGGGAAATGACGAGTTGCTTCAAGAGCCTGCCTTGACCTCCCCACAATGACAGGCTATAACCTCGAATCCTGAGCCAGAAAAACCCTTTCTCCCCTAAGACGCTTCTGTTGGAGTATTTTATCACAACAGGCAAGGAAGTGAAAACAGAAAGTGAACAGAGAGAGAGAGAGAGAGAGAGAGAGTTGTCAGAGGGTACCAGTTACTCAAGAAAAAAACCCTGAAGAGACAATAGCTAATAAGCCACAATTGGCACACACAAGATGTCAGATGATAACCACGCACAAACATCACACTGTAGTATACCACAGTCACTGCTGACAGCCAACGCAGGGACATACTCTGGTCAGCAGCAAAAGAAATCTGTCCTGCTATATTTGGGATCTGATGTGACCCCCTTAAAAAAATGATTGTGTTGGAACCTTTAAGATGATGTGGGGCTTCACCTGGGGAGATGGTTCAATCAGCTAAGCACTTGAAAGAGGACCTGAGTGTGGTCCCTAGAACCCACATTTAAAAAGTCCAGGCATACCTGGGTGTGGTACACGCCTTTAATCCCAACACTTGGGAGACAGAGGCAGGTGGACCTCTGTGAGATGGAGACCAGCCTGGTCTGCATAGCAAGTTCCAGGCCAGCTGGGGCTACAGGGAGACCCTGTGTCAACAACAACAACAAACCCAAAGTAGAAATCCCAACAGGAACTACAGTGTTCCTTGAATAATGGCAACATGTCAAAATGTGTGAGATGCAACTACAGACATGTTTTGAGAGCAGTTTATAACTTTGAACAATAACTCTACTAGAAAATAAGAGTCCCCAATTCAATGGTGCAAACATCTGCCCTACAAAACATAACAAAGAGCAGAAATCAATGAAACGGAAGGAAAAAAAAGGGAGGAAAGAAATCAAAGGCAGAATTCCTCTGGTGCCTCAGACACAGTCTGTTCTCCCCCCACTCCCCCCTCACTGCACCTGTCTCTCAGTCACTATATCACCATGTCTCTCTCCCTGGAAATTGCCAATCTGAAGTAGCCTCTGGTCCCCAAGCCTGGATCAGAGCCTTCCTTGGGCTCCTGTGGACCCCTTGCTCAACATAGGGCTGCACTTAATGGTGACATGAAGGCAGCCATGGGGACACCTCTTAGAGGAAAGCAGATCAAGGTCCCCATCACCCACAGTCACCAGCACCACTACAATTTGGGCAAGGGCTGAGCTAGGCGACACTGGCTCCTCCTCATCTCTGAGCCTCAGTTTCCTTATCTGTGTGACGAGTCCATAGCACCCACCTGCCAGCCAGCCACACTCACCCATCAAGCTCTGTCGCTCCTCCTTCTTTCGAGCCTTCTGCTTGGCTTCCAACTGTACCACCGATAGGAGTGGCCCCACCGTGGGGCTAGGGAGGGCGCTGGCCGCAAAGCGAGCCAACAGGCCTAGTCCACTCTCCTCCAGGCCCGGAGACAGGGCCCGCTCCTGGGTGCCCAGCCTATAACTACCACCAGCTTCCTCCTCCTCTTCCTCTTCCTCCTCCTCCTCCTCCAGCTCTTCCTCATCCTCGTCCTCCTCCGAGCTCTCATCTAGCATGCAGAAAACAGGGAAGAAGTCAGGGTTCCAGCCTGGGTGCATGGCACCCCCCACCACCTCCCACCACCCAAATTGGCTCCAGCCTCTGCCCTCACTGAGGACAGCTGGGAAAGGATCCAGAACCACCCCACTGTCCCACCCATGGCCCATGGCCTCCACCATTTGCCCACACAGGGGCAGTATGGACAGCCTGGGGAAGGAGGAGGGCAACTCTGGGTGTCAGGGTTGGCTTCTTGGGGAGGGGGGGCAGCACCAACATGCACCTGTGCTGTGGGCAGGGGACAGACACACAGACAGACAAGGACAGGAGACAACGCTCGTCACACACACACACACACACACACACACACACACACACACGCCCCAACGTAGACATGGAGGCTGGGAGAAGAGGGAGGGAAGGAAAGCGAGGCAGAAGGTGGGGGTCAGGCTCAGGCTGGGGGATCCAGGCAAGGGACCAATGGCATTTTGGCCAGCTGGAGGCCTGGGGGCTGTCAGCAGGAGAAGGCAGTTTGATCTTTCCTGGAAAAAGGAGCAGGGGACCCCTCCACAGTTTAAGTCTTGAGTAGAAGAGAATCCAACACCCTCATGCTGGGCAACCTCTCTGAGCCTAAGGGAGACCCTCTAGCCCACCAGTCCAGCTAAGAGAGTCTACAAAGGATCTCACGTGGCATGGCCAAGTGTGGTGGCAGATACCTGTTATCCCAGCACTCGGGAGGCTGAGACACGAGGACTGTGAGTTCAAGGCCAGCCTGAGCTACACAGTGAGACTTTTAAAGAAAGAAAAAATAAACAGGGCCAGTTATGGTTCTGGACTCCTAGACAGCCCAGAGCTTTTGGCTTCAGTCGGGGTAGGGCACCAGGTGTTATCTGCCTCAAGAGCCAGAACACTGGGAGCCATTGACTAAGAGTGGGGTCCAGGTAGGGTTGGCTATTCTGTCTTATGAGGAATGACAAGACATGCATATCCTAGATGTGGGGGTCAGACAAAGAAAAGAGGGTGGCCAACTACACATTCTCCTGCTAAAGCCTTCAGTCACCGCTTGGTTAGATGAACTAGAGGCTCCAAGTGTCCACCCCCAGGGGTGCCAGAGGGTAAAGTACTATCTGCCCCCTATGGGAGGAACCCCCAGTTTCTGCTGGGCCAGCTTGGAAGAAGAGGTGAGGATAGCTAAGGAGAGTCTGCACAGGGGCTAGAGAGAGGGAGGCAAAGAAAGGGAGAGAGGGAGGAGGTTGGTTAAGGGGGTGCGAGGTGGGAGGCGTTCCCGGAGTGATGGATGAAGCAGGCTGGGGATGCCAGCAGGGCAGGCAGGGGCAGGCAGGCAGTGCGCACTTGCGATCAATCACATTGCGACGGTCACATGGTTCTGTCTCCGCCCCAGTGGGCCACAGCAGCAAAGCAGGCTAAGTGTAGGCAGACTTCGACAGCGCCTGGGTAACCCCACATCAGGCCTCCCTGGGGTTGGCCAATTTGGGGAGGGTGGGCAGGGGAGGGGAGGGTGGCTGGCTGGGATGGGGGTCTGGGAATCTCCCCCTTATAAAAACTTCCCCTCTGTCCTGGTTGCTCAGGTGTGGAGACTGCAATTCCAAAACATTCTTTCCAAAAGGGTTCTCGGGCAGCAGCATCACAGTGAGGAAGGCAGGCTTAGAGTCCCTTACTCTGGGTTTCTGAAAGCCACCGTCAGACCTCCAGAAAGCCAGGGGCAGGTCAATCATAGCACTTGGACACTGTAGAACATTCTAGAAAGTAGAAGCCAAAATAGGTGCTTTTTCCCCATGGAGGGGTGCTGATTATCCTGGGGTCTCCTGGGGTCCTCCAGACCCCCAACCATGGTGCTTGGTCAAGCCTCACGCTAGTCTGATAGGACCAGCATGCACAGGACCACAGGGAACAGAGGGTCCTGAGGCAGGGCAAGAAAGAATTTCTGGAATTGCATATGCTTATGGATCCACAGAGCTTGCCAAGGTCAAAGGGGGAAAAAACACCCAACAAAGATACCCACGGGAATGCAAGGGAGAAAAATACTTTTTATTATAGAAATATATGTATATTTAAAATCTTGGCTCAGAACAAGGTGTACTGGGCTGTTGTCATTGGTGGCTGGACTTCCCAAAACCTGGTCAAGGCCAAGGTGGTATGCTGCTGCCAGACTCGGTGGGGGCAGACCCCGAGGAGGGTGGAGTAAACATAAGAGTAGAAAAGGAAAGGATTTTTGCCTACCTACGGAGCAACGAGCCTCAAGCTCAGTAACTCGCTACGCCGTCTGCCCTACTCCCAACCTTCGCTTTGCGTCCATAGTGCAGCGTGAGAGCAAATGCGAGAGACCGTAACAGACACTCAAAGCATCATGGGTAGGGGTCAAGGGTTGGAGGGATGGTCAAGCTGCTGGGAGGAGAAAGCAGACACACTAGAAAAGCCAAGCCAATTAAGTGTTTTAGTACCAAAGGGGTAGGAAGGCCCTGTGACCCAGTATCCCCTGGGACCTTACCAGTGGACTTTGCACTGAGTGAAGGAGGCAAGCTAGGCAACCAAGCCCTCACCCCTCACCCCTCCAACTCCCCTACTCTGGCCTCCGTCCCTTAGCATTGCTATAGCTAGCCCTGAGGTCCCTTCCTAAAAGGGCTGGGAGGGGGCTGCCTGCTTTTCTGTGGGGGTCTGTACTAGAATAGGAGGGCTCAAAAACTTTGGGGATGGAACCCTGACTTTAAGGGCATGTATAGGGAAGGGGACAGAGGGAAACCACCCCAAGTCAGGGAGATCAGGAATAGAGGTCAACCAGTGTCATCCACAGATGACAGGGTGGGGAGACCTCTTCGTGGCCCAGGTTGTATTGGCTCCGATGTTGCAGCCAGGAGAACTCCCCAAATGGCACCAAGATTCCTGTGTGCCATCACTCACCCAAAACCCCATCTCTGCCAATTTGGAAGGCAGGTGTGGGAAGAAAAAAGGACAACCAGAAACTGAAAAATAAGCTGGAAGATGGGAGCAGAGTCTTTGTCCCAGGTACCCAAGCCTGGGGCCATTGCAAGTACTATCCAGGGGTTGCTACCCATCTAGGGGGTCCCCAAGCCCTAGCCCTAAAGGGAACTCACCCTGAAGCAGACCCTAGACCCATGGGGTTACAAAACATCCCACTTTCTTCTCTAATAGGAACATTTTCTGATTGAAGGGCTTGAGAGCTCACAGATTTCTGACTGCAGGCTACAACTCTGACGCTGGAAATGTGGTATCAAGAATGTTCTTTGGAGAGTAAGACCCCTTGGCTGTGCTGAGGCCAAACCAGACCCAGAACTCTTGGTCCAGCACATACCCTCCAAAGAATCATGTTTTGTCCTTCAATGTGGCAACTGAGCCAATGCTTTCAAATTGAACAAGAAAAAAAAAAAAAAAAAAAACAAGCCTTTAACCTTGACCCACCCAAATGCCCTTAAAAGCAAAAAATTTGGTTAAAAAAAAGTGTTGGGAAATGAAATTTTTTTTTTT